TTTCTTTGTACGGCTTCGAATAGGTGATTTCCGGTTGCTGGGTTTGGTACCAAATCTTACCTTCATCACTGACGCTAGTAATTGTTGCAGACTGTTAGTAAATCCTGACCACACGACTAAAGGGTTGTGCTCTACCTATGAGATATCCATTGAATGGAAGAAGCCAAGCTCTGCGACTTTGCAGTTTATGAATGTGCAAATGTTGTTTGGGTTAATTACTTTGACAGAAGCGTAACTGATGTATTTGAACAACAGGACAGCAAGGTCATTGCGTCCCAGGGGGTTGTATGGCCACGGATTCTATCATCAACTCTTCGCTCGTCAACATTAAATCTAGTGTGTATGGTGATTGCAAGTTTCCAAATCCGGTATGCTCTTTCACGTGGTTGTACAGTGGTTGTGAGGCAATTAGCTTCATGAAGTGCTGTTCGAATAAACAATGGGAGGTCATTGGTTCGTCGAGGTTTGAACAGTTGATATCACCCATTAGCAGAACAGGTGTAAATCTTTTTGCGAGAATGTGTAACATACTGTTCAAAAGAGTCATATGGGCTGATTTCGGGGATGACGGAGGGCGATAGATGACACCAATCAAACAGTCATCTTGTTTGGACAAGCTCACCCTACACCACAGAGTGTCAGGTGTCGAAACTCGGGGCTGAATTTGCCCGCAATCAAGATTGTTTCGATGGTAGAGTAGAACACCACCACCACCACGGGTAGGACAATCGCATCTGAGCAGAGACATTTCTGATAAGGACAATGCGGAATCCGAAATACCAGCTGCAAGCCGAATTTCTGTAACATCAACAATATCCCACTGGCCTGATATGAAACGCAAATTCAGCTCTGGAAACTTGCCGCGGCGTCCTTGAGCATTATGGTAGTAACAGTTTAAAGATTGTTGGTGTAGAAATCCGATTGGATTAGAAGTGGTATCTTCGCCGACCTCTTCGCTGTCGGCTACCATTAGTTTTGTGACAGAGAAGCTCTGGTACTTTGGATCACGGGTTGCGGGACGGAATTTGGTACCTGCATTGAGTGATTCGATGTAATAGTAGGGTTCTCGGGATATGATTGTTTTTGGAGCCGGAGATCGAGTAAGGGTCTCACACGTAGTTCCGGTGGCCCTCCGTTCTTTCGTTCTTGCCATAACTGAATGGCGGTGTTGGCCATGTCTGGAGTGCCAAGGGTAACTTTCATTATCTNCGGACCGTAGCCATGGTAATTTGGTGACCAGGGAAGACAACTGGTTGATGATGTCAGAAGACCGGGACACCCAAGTAGCTTTGAATGAATCTCCATTCTCGCTTTTCGTTCTGATGACTCTTAGATTCACCTGGATCGTCCAATTGCGGAACACCATGGATGAGGACGACCGTCTTATGTTACTCCATCCGTGCTCTCATTGAATCGGACTGGTGCTGCATTCGTTTCGTCCATTGCCTGTCAGGGATGAGTCTTGTTCTGCAGGATTTTTTTCTGAGGAGGTAACCAGAAAGAAGAACGTCCTCCAAGTCCTNTCCCCGGCATGTGGCGACGTCCGCTGGCGCATAAGTCTTTTGAGGCTCACAAATAGAACATTGATGCCCATCTGCGTGCACAAACCCTTCCAGTGTTTCAGCTCTTCTTCTTGTCGTTTTCTCTTTCCGTTGTTTTTTTTCGGTTCAGGTATACTTGTGCAGATAAGTGTCAAGGCGGTATTGCTCACACTTTTTACCCCATTAGCGAAGGCCTTGGTGTGAATTTAACAGGTTTCATTTGGAGGACAATCTTTTTCTGATCAGGAACTGTTACCGTATCATTTGTTACTATAGCAGCCATGTTCATTTCAGCGGGGGTACTGCATTGCGTTGGAGNAAGCTTAGTCAGTCGGTGGATTGGGATAGCTGGGACGATCTGAGAGCTCAGGGTAGTTCTCTTCTAATGCTGAAATTTTCATATCAGCTTTTTCCTCTGTAGCTAAACCTATTTTCAATGCCGACTAAGTATTCTTTAACCGGAGTTTTCATACAGTCACTTCAAAACCAAAAACCATTCCGTTGTGGGAGCATCTTCATCTCGTTCTTTCATCTTGTTGTTCGATAGTTTGGCGCATGCTGCGTGGAAATATTTTTCGCAATTGATGAGACCGATCATTTGGATCATTTCAGAATGATTTTCCGAATTCACTTATGAACCCAGTGATTTAAATCCTCTCCTATCTGACTACCACCGCCGTACCCCAGAAATGTCGCTAGAAGCCACTTCGTCAACTGCTTGAATCAATAAAATTTCCTCAATCTTTTTAGCGATTCGAATTTATCGCTTGGAGTCGTTTACTGTATTTTTCTCCTAGGCTACAACTCCAGAAAATTCCAGGGATGAATTCATGTTTATTCCGTTCATTCTGTTTACGACACATGCTGTACACTGACTACCCGAACAGACGCCCCTTTTAAACACGTGATCATTTGGCCCCGTGAGGTAAACATAAGCACGCTCCTAGGCCCTGGTACAGGGAACCAGCAGTGAACAGAAAATAATGTCAGATAATACAACGAACGGAAACAATTTATATTTCTTCATTGTACCCCTATGTTGATGTTACATAATGCACAACATGTCTGTTTCCAGGATGGGTAAATGTCACCACTTGGTGGGAATTGGTTTTCGCAGAATAGTTTAGGACTGAGAGAAATTTCGTGGACCTAATCAGATTGTAGATAAGAAGTTTTATAAATTCGCACGAATAAGTGCCAAAACTGGGAAACTGCTGATTGTGGAGAGAATACATACTGGAAAAGGGCATCCTACCCAAAGTGTCATTCGAGCCCAGGCTGATGACAAAACTGGTCTTTCAATCCATAGTACAGCTAAATGATGTGATGCGCTTAGATGTAGCGCCGAGATTCAGCACAGAAATGAAGATTATTCCATCAATGAACACACTGTATACCAGTCAGAAAATTAGTTCGCTGAGCAATACGTCGCAGCCAATATATTTAGAAGGAAAACAAAATCTGGGGACAAAGAAGAGATCGGTCATCATTTTGGTGTCCATGGCAGATGTGACAACGATTAAAACTACGGGAATCGGGCAGCTGATCAAAATATTTTTGTGGTGATTGCTCATGAACTATGAACTCTTTTGTTTTATTGAACACGATATCCTTGTATATTTCTAATTTCCGCCTATTACAATTCCATTCCGCCTCTGAGTTGACTTCTGATTTCGTTTCGAGTCCTAGTTCTGGGTCGGGCTACTAGTGCGCGGAATCCGATACGTATACGAAATAATAGTCTGAGTACGAACTAGAACAACTGGGGTCGCGGTCATTTTGAACCAATGGAGTCCTGTAATTTGGAGAACTTGAATATACATGCCAGTGCGCGCGAAGTCGAAGACTGTCTTGAACGGTTCGAGATTTGGTGTATTACGCGGAAAGGACTCGATGGAGAACGCAAAACGGCTTGTTTCCTAACGGTCATCGGGAAGGATGCATACTCATTGTTGAAGAATTTGGCATTTCCTGACTCCCTTATATGGTTATCATATGAATCCCTGAAAACCTTTCTGCTGAAGCATCTAGAGCCGGCTAATTTCGAAGCTGCTGAACGAGCCAAATTTCATTTACTCACCCGTGGTGGAAGCCAACCTGTACGTGACTTTATTCTTCAGCTTCAAACTCAAGCATCTGGTTGCAACTTCGGAGATCAATTGCAAACCCAGTTACGTGATCGATTATTGCCGGTATTATTTGCCCGGAATTACAGCAAAAGCTCCTGCTCATGCACAATTGCACATTTC